CCCCCCCAAGCATTCCCTGCAAAATCTGGTCACAGGGGAATATTTTGGTGATGTTGAAGTTGCGATGCAAGAAGATATTAAATATCAATGTGTTCATATTAACAATTTCCCCCCCCATCAACTACGAGCAATGAAATAGATAAACGAAAGGAAGAAAATGTTTTCTGTAAACGTTAAAACTAGTAGGTTCCACCAAAACACCACATTTTTTTCCCCAGCAAAGCTGTTCCTCTGACAACGCCTGCCCAGCCCCTGCTGCCCAGGAGCCACCCCCTGGGGCAGGGGGGCAGGTCCCCAAAGCCACAGCGCCCTGTCCTTGCAGCCACCAGGCACTGTCACCCTCCTGGGAAGGGGCCGAGAGGGGCAGACCCAGAAGATGTTGAGTCCGGTGTCTGCACTGAGAGCTGGCACAGGAAACGTGGGGATCACTCTGTGAAAGGGAAAAAAACACCCCAAACAACCAGAAAAACCCCTCTGTCCCTTTGGGGAAAGAGGGACAAGGGCAGGAGAAAGTCAGCCCAGGGGGGGAGGGGGGAAGCAAGGTGAAATGCTGATGAGGAACGCCTCATTAGGGGTTATTTACACATCTCTAATGCAAAGCATCTGGAGCCCCCGCCAGGCGGGGGGGGGGAGGCAGAGATCCCTGAATCCCGGGAAATCACTGCTGGGTGATTTGGGGGCTGATCCCCAGGCAGCCTGGTGTCATCATGTTCCCCTGAAGCCTTTTAAAGCAGGGGAGTAGGAAGCACCTTTTACAAAACCCTCTGACTCCCCTCTCAAGCTGAGAGCAGCCATGGTTACGGGGATAAAACGATTAGAAAAACACCAAATAAACACGGACACGGTTTCAGTGCTTGGTTCCAGACTAACTGAAGTATAAGAGCATTTTCCATTTAGTCTGTTTTCCACAGTTCTTCTTGCTTCAAACCCATTCTCTTCTGTTCACTGCCTCAAATTAACTGTGCAGCTCTGACCCTGTGCCCTGGTTTCGAGCTGGCTGCCATTCCCTGGGACCAGAGATCCTTGGCATCTCCATTTTCTTAATCAGTTTTTCAGGCTGGTTTTTTATCCCCTGTTCAATTACCTGCTCTGAAGCACAGTGCCCACTGTAGCCCAGGCAGCATTCCCAGCATTCCCAGCACCACAGCAGGCACTGCCATCCTGGCCAGCCCTGTGGGCTGGATCTCAGACATGGTCCAGTATCATTTTCCTGTAGCTCCAGGTCTGTCCATCACCACAGCTGATGGATTTTGTTCCATAGCTGGAAGCAGCTGCTGCCTCCTCCCTCCATCACAGGCTGGTGCTTTTTGAGTTACAAAGCCAGGGTTTTGGTTAACAGCTGCTTTCAAGGCTCCAATTGTGTTTCTCACCCACTGGGGCCCTCCCCACAGCATGGTTCCACCTCCCCTTCCCCTCACTCATGTGGCCACCCTTGGCAGGGGCCAGATCCAAGAAGGAGAAGGGGTCTTTCCTCAGAGCCCCCCAGCTTTGTTCCTGCTGCTTCCTCATCCATCTTAGTTGTCTTCCACCAAGCGACAAGGATGTGTTGGACTGAGAGGCAGTTTTAATAATACCCTGCTTTTACACAGGAAGATTTATTCTGACAGTTCCCAAAACATTATATAAGCCAGGAGCCAGGGGGACATTATGGATCAGCCTCGTCAGACCATTTTGTGTCTGCTTGAAATATGCCCACCACTGCAGAGCCACAAAGCTCCCAAATTCATCCCATTTAATGAGTACCAAGCCCAGAGAAATGGTAAAATCCATCTGGCTCGTGCTAGGGGCTGGGGGATGCTCTGCCTAACCACCTGCCCTCTGGATAACCAGCTCCCCTCTCCTGGGTGTGCCCATGTGTTGCAGTGCCAGGGGGTGTGCAGGGCTGGGAGGCACCAGCACAACCCCCGGGGAGTTCTGGGCTGCAGCAGCACTGAGACAGCAACTCCAAATCGTGCCAGGTTGACACCCTCCCTGGCAGCACCGTGGTCAGACAGGACCTGCTGTGGTCACCAGAGCTCCTTCAGCACAAGCTGGTGTGTGTGGCAGCCCCCAGGCCTGGCTGCTTGGTGATGCCCATGATGCCCAAGCTGGTAACTGCTGTTCCTTGAGGCCCTCGCCTGCCGACTGAGCAGGGAGCAGCTGTGTGTGCTTTTCCCATTACAGGCCCTTTAAGCACTGCCACAGCCACATTAGAGAGTGAAAAAGGATTTGTTCAACAAATGTGTTTGGGGCAGAATTCCTCTGCACAGAACAAAATCTGACAAGCTGCTTTTCTGGGCAGTTGGAGCTGCTCCAGCATTAGTCCGGGGTAGTTTGACCCTCATGAAAAGACCAGCAAAAAAGTAGATGCCTTCCCCTGCTTGGATAATTCTCCCATAGAAAAGGGAACAGGTCCCCTGGATGGGTCCTGAGGGGGACTGACTGTCTCCTGTAGCATGTCTGCAACCCCCAAACCCTGCTGGCACCCTGTGGCACACACTGCCACCCTGATGGGTTGTGTTTGGGAGAGAAGAGGGATGGAGGCATCACAGCCACTGGCACGTGTAGGAGCAGCCAGGCTGTTGTCCTGTCCACACTCACACACACATTTACACTCACATTCACCCTCCTTTTTTTAAGGGCAGTGTTTTGAGCCTGGTCACGGCCAGGGCAGCAGCTTGGCTGGCTGGGAGGCATCAAGGAGGAGAGCAGAGCACACTTTGCCCCACCAGCATCCCCATCGGCCGGCCCCTGTGGGCACTGACCACTTACCTGCTCACACAGGGTGCTGATGAGCCCTTCCAGGTCCTGCTTCTCACGCAGCACTGTCTGCTTCTCCTCGTGCTCCTGTTCCAGCTGCATCTCCAGCTGCCGGAGCTGTGCAGTTTGGGGCAGAATTCCTCTGCACAGAACAAAATCTGACAAGCTGCTTTTCTGGGCAGTTGGAGCTGCTCCAGCATTAGTCCGGGGTAGTTTGACCCTCATGAAAAGACCAGCAAAAAAGTAGATGCCTTCCCCTGCTTGGATAATTCTCCCATAGAAAAGGGAACAGGTCCCCTGGATGGGTCCTGAGGGGGACTGACTGTCTCCTGTAGCATGTCTGCAACCCCCAAACCCTGCTGGCACCCTGTGGCACACACTGCCACCCTGATGGGTGGTGTTTGGGAGAGACGAGGGATGGAGGCATCACAGCCACTGGCACGTGTAGGAGCAGCCAGGCTGTTGTCCTGTCCACACTCACACACACATTTACACTCACATTCACCCTCCTTTTTTTAAGGGCAGTGTTTTGAGCCTGGTCACGGCCAGGGCAGCAGCTTGGCTGGCTGGGAGGCATCAAGGAGGAGAGCAGAGCACACTTTGCCCCACCAGCATCCCCACTGCCCAGCCCCTGTGGGCACTGACCACTTACCTGCTCACACAGGGTGCTGATGAGCCCTTCCAGGTCCTGCTTCTCACGCAGCACTGTCTGCTTCTCCTCGTGCTCCTGTTCCAGCTGCATCTCCAGCTGCCGGAGCTGTGCATGAGAGACAACCCCAGCCCTGCTCAGAGCCTGGCCAGAGCCCCACACCTCGGCAGGGCACTGCAGCAGGGACCCAAGCAACCCCCATGGTGCTGGGGACCAGGATGGGGCCCATGTCCCTCAGAGCACCCACTGCTCCCTGAGCACTGCAACTGCTCCAGGAGGAGGAAGTGGAACCTGTCCAGCAGTCTGTAGGGGGGACAGGATGGCCTGTTTGTGCCAACTCCTGGAGGCATGATCTGAGATCCCCAAGGGCTGACCCTGCAATTCTGGAGCAGTAACATGGGGCCTCCAGCTGAGCTAGAAGAGGGGTCAGCCTTAAGCCCTCCTCGAGGCACCCCTTGATCATGAGCCAGCACCCAGTGTGCTACTCACTCCAGCTCTCCACCAGTGAGGAGGTGACAGTGGCCTTGTGGGACACAGGGTGCCATAAAGGCAGAGTTTGTGCTGCTCCAGGGAGCCTCAGGGCCAGCAGTGAGTGCAGAAGTCTGCATCCCTCTGCCTCTGCTCCTGCATCTTTGTCCCACAGTGCTACAGCCACAGAAGGTGCTTTGCTGGAGGGAACCAGCTCTGGGCAGCACCCCGGAGCTCTGCTGTGCAGCTGCAAGTGGTTCTGCTCCTAAACCCAGCCAGCCTATTTCACACCCGCACCTCCCCCTGGCAGCAGCTGTGTGGCTGTGCCTCCTGGAGTGGATGTGCCAGGCTGTGACCCTGGCACAGCTCCCCAGAGCCCTCCCTGCCCCAGGCACCTCCTGCACCTCCAGCTGCTGCACAGGAACAGTTTAAAAAGGGAGCAGGAGCAGGCTGCTAAGTATCGATTGCTCTCCAGAGTGTCTCTGCCATTTACTCATTTGGAAAATAACACTCAGGCCATGCGGGGTGAGGGAGGGAAAGGATGAAAGACCAAGAGCAGCTGCAAAGGCACAGCATCTGCTCTGGTGCAGCTGGCAGGGCCCTGCCCGGGGCAGCTGCACCCACAGAGGTGCGGGAGGAGCCCGGGAGGAGCCCTGAGCGATGCCTCCGGTCAGGAACTTCGGCAAAAATGGGTCAGTGGAGAGGGAGAGAGATCAGCACCGAGCTGCTGCGGCAGCCCCCGCA